GCAGACTTGCTGAGGGTGCACTCAAGAGCACTGAATTGTGCTCTGATGGTGAAACTGGGCTGTTTGGATGGAGTAGCTCCAAGTAAGCCAGTCTGCCTGCATGCTTTAGGCTGCTTGAATTCTGGTTTGAACAGTCGTGTTTCATCTGAAGCGTGAACTGGTGTTTCAGAAGCAAAAATCAAGAGGGATTGTGTTAACGTCATGAAGGCAGTTATGGCACTGTTACCCATTTCGTCTTGCCGTTAAGGGGGTTCTCACTGGAAGAGTTGCCCGGAACAGAAATGCTGTGGCTGCTGCTGTTTTGACGGTGGAGAGTTGGAATGGTGTGGTACAGAGTCTGTTCTTGAATTTGAACTGTCATTTCAGACTGTGTTTCAGCAAGACCGTCACGAGGATGTCCTTAACATGTGCATCGCTCAGTTTGAGCCAGATTCACCTGACTACATCAGAGTGAGTTCGCTTCTCATTTTTTTTGAGTAAAAATACACTATTAGTGAAGAACTTGAGGGTTTATTTTGTAAATGTAAGAACACCTTTGATCCCCAGATAATACTTAATGTGTTTTTCCCATAAGATTACCTGTTATCCTTGTGCTGATACGTTTTTCTTGCAGAAAACTAAAAGAGGATTCTGTTTAAGTAATTTTCAGCAGTATAGAAAGAACTACAGATGCCTCTATAAAGGCTATTTTAATGCATTTTTGGTATCAAACCTAAATTAATGACAATGCCCCTAAGTGGCCCCAACCAGAGTTGTGCTACTAGAGCCGTGCTAACTGCTCTGTAGGGTTTGAAAGGACGAGGCAGATAACATGAAGGTGGATCACTGACCAAGTGCACCTGGGAGCACTGCACACAGGATGTTATTTATGACAGAGCCCAGGTACAAAAGTATACTTCTAGCTGAAGTATTTCCTAACCAGTTGCTGGTGAATGTTAGCTCACACTTGCCTTTAAAATGTTTCCTTCGCTTTAAGCTGTAATCGTTTCTCGTAGCAACGAAAATGAAAAATTGCCTAGTGAGTTACAATTACCTTTTCTTCAAAGGAAAATTTCACCTCTTTGCTCCATTATTTTTCTCTGTTAAGAATAGATTACAGCGTGGCACCAGTGAAATGAAGAGTCAGGGGTTACATTCCTCCCTCCCCACATTTTCAGTACGTTGCTCGTATTTAGCTTTCCCAGGCATACACATCTTGATGTTCAAAGTACTACAAAGTGGTTATCCCAGTGTTACCCCAAATTGTGAAATGTATAGAGCTTTAAGGTAGCATGGCTCGGCCTGTGCTTTACTCGTGCACTTTAGGAAGGTCTGAAAATAGATTCAAAACTTTCACTCAGGTGAGAGGTAGGGAGACACTGTCCTCAAGCTGCAGTTATGCTCATGGAACCGGAACCTTTGCTGTGTACAGGTTCACCATCGAACCTACGACGACATTGAGAAACAGGCCAAATACGATCTGCTCCGCTCAACCAGGCACTTTGGCGGAATGGTATGGTATCTAGTAAACAGAAAGAAAACGGATGGCTTACTAATAGATATGATCCACAGAGACTTGTAAGTGGTGTTTGTTACGTTTCTGCTTATCTGATCAAGTAGAAAACAACCAGTACCATAGTTTGAAACTAAGACCAGTGTTTCTCTAAGGTGTATAAAGGTTTTCATTTGCATGAAACTTTAGGCTAGCTGTACCTTTGAACATAAATGCCAGTTGTGGTCGATGGAGCTGCAGGGTATTCAGCTAGGTTTCTGCAGAAATTAGGCTTTTGTAGTTGCTGGGTCTTTTGTTTTGTTTCCCATGTAATTGTCAGTACACTTCCAGCTCTGGGCTTTATCTTTAACAATTTTATACAACTGAGCTCACTTTTGGCTTTTAAGATTGACATACCCTGGGTTTTAGAGCAATTCTTAGGTAGCTGAGGAACAGATAAGATACGTATCATTTTAAGTGGATGGGTTTCTGTAAGATGCTGCTAAACTTATGCAACTCCAAAGCAAACAATATTCAGTAGTTCAAAATGTCACTTGAGCTAGGAGAAATATGTGCCATTAGAACTCCAAGTTTCAGCGATGGTGACGTTCATGGCCTGCTGCTGAAGTTTGAGACACTCAACAGGTGATCAGATCTTACTTTTAAACCTGAGGATATGAAGAAATACAAGGAAATTCTAGTTTTGAATTTAAACTATTAAAGGGAAAATTCAAGTATCAGAACAACTTAAGTTCCCAGAGTTTGGAGCATCTTTACCTGCCACCCACCTGCTTTTGGCTTATGCTTATGTAAATATGAGGGGCTGAGTGTCAGAATATTTTCTGTACTACTTCTGTAAAACATGCTAGTTACTGCAGTTATCGAGACTTCAGCTTTACTGCTGAAGAGATCAAGCTTAAGTGCAGCCTGGATAAATGTGCACCTGGGTGTTCGCAGGCTTCTGCTCTTCCCTCAGAGGTTGCAGCCCAGTAGATGATGGGATGCCTGTTCAGCTGTGTATTGTAGTGACTCGGCTAAAGCCAAAGTTTATGGAAGCCTGTGGTGTGCAAAGTATACCACAAAGTACACTTTCTCTAAATACTCTTGATCTCTTAAGTAATTGCTACAAATGGCCCTTCATTTGTTTAGGCTGGATGACGCTACCAGTTTAATTACACTGTATCATATGCTTCATCCGGAATGTCAGTCAGCAAAAGCAGCTGAAGAAGGGAAACTTGAAGGTGTTGATCTGATCAAGGTATGCTTTTCTACTTTAAGGCTACTTCACTACAGCAGAGAAAGCTTTTAAGCAGCAGGAGCCTATTTAGCAGTCTGAATTTCTCCTTACCTTAAGCAGCAGATGTTTAACTAGAGCTGTTGCGCACGCCTGTTTGGCTTTTTAGCTACAGAGTTGGGCCAGGATTCCAGTTGTGGCTGGCCGATGGGCCGCTGGAACGATGGAATCTCGTTATGCGGCTGTGCTCTTTACGGTACGTGAATCTCTCTCCTGCCATCTCTGCAGGCGTTCGTGAAGACAGAATCGCAGAGAGAAGGCTATATACAGCTGGCCCTCCAGGCTTACGAAGAAGCAATGGCTACCTCTACAGCTTCATGAAATAAACCTTAGTTCATCGTAAGTTGTGTCTATAAACATTCTCTGTACAGGATTCCACAATAAATACGTGAAACAACTGACTGTTCTAGAACTGTTTTTTACTGAAGTACATAAGAAGCAGTACAGCAACATGTTACTGTCAGAGGTTAAAACTTAGAGCAGTTATCATGACTTTGGTTTGAGGTGACAATATACTTGGAGTTTAATTCCTTTACTGTTGCATCTTAACAATTGCCCACTGTTTGCTTGACTTAAGTATAAGGTGTGGACAGCTGCATTGAGGAACATGTGTAACATCACATCTGTCCTGTAAGACATAGATTACTGGTCTGTTGGGCCTTTTAGCCAGAAGTGGTGTCTGGAAGAATAACTGAGCTGCTAATTATTAGCAGATACACGCGAAATGGCACAGGGAGAGAGTAACCAGACACCTAAGAAAAGTCAGGTTAAAAGACTAATGCTTGGCAGCTATACTCCTGTTGCAATGACCAAAGCTGGGTAAAGAACATCAGAAGTACTAGGAAGTGGAGAACTAAAAACCATAATGTTTAAAAGGATTTATTGATTTTCATTTATCAAGTAAATACTTTTTAGCATGGACTGGAGCAGGTCTACATCGGGAATTTCAGCATAGAAATTGATTCCTTTTATATGGCTGCTGGGTCTACCCTTCTTTCCACATGGACATGGTCCACATGCAGTATAAAAATTAACTTGGAGCATATAGTCCACAGAACTTCATTCCTTGGTTTGGAGTAAATTTATTTGGTCATCTCAAAAGTACGTTCACTCATCTAAGATCTCTTCATCCAGGTTGATATCTGTGGTATCGATATCCTCCAGATCCAAGTTATCCAAGTCATCTTCCAAGTCCAGCAGTGTCTGGGAAGAGACAAGAGCAGATTAAGGGGACACCCATGTAGTTACAAATTAGCCAGCCTGTGGGATGTATGATTTAGTAAGGTGTATTCGCACGTTCCGCAAAGCGCCAGGCTGAGGCAGACAGAGTAAGTGTTAAAATAAACTGCAGAGAGAAGCTGCCTTCCTGGGGAGAAAGCATCTCTCAGAAGGGCAGCTTTGGACCATCTTCCAACCAGCTGGGTTTAGCCTTCACCCTTGGCTCCTTGTAAATCCACAAGGCTGCAGGAACCTGTCTGTTACTGTGTGCAGCTTCTTTGGACCCGTACACTGTTCTGCTCCGAAGCTGTCTGGGTCCACTGATGATTAAGTGACGTTTCCCAGTAGCCTGGTTTAATCACATTATTAGTTGAAGTCTTTACATAAAATGAATTTAGAGCTTGTACTTCCCTTTATAAAAACATATTTCAGTACCTTTTGATCTCTTGTTGGAAGAAGATCAGAATTCTGCAAAACTGTCTTCATCACGTCCTGCTTAGGAGATGGAACTGGTTCCTCAGCCTTCCTCTAATGGAAGAGAGGGATTCCTTAAGTTATGAATCTGAATTCAGTTCAGCAAAAGCAAGTGAACAGCAGCAGACCTGTAACCCCCCTCTGCCCATGTTTTTCTCTCAAAAGTTTCCCTCAGTAAGTGGTAAGCAGGATTCCTCGTCAGCTGGCTATGGAATAGCCTTACTCCATAACCATGCACGCCAGCAAAGAATATGAAGCATTTGTAATTGCTGTGATGTGCAGGAGTCGCCAGGTTCCGACTACTGAACTTTCAGGAAGGCAGCGAGGCAGTGTTTGTACTGCAACTGAGACTCTTTCTCTGCAGGATGACATCCATGGTACGACTCTGCGCTTACACTAACAAAGACAACCCAAGAGAAGTAACCACACGGAACAGATAATTTCACAGTCAAGAAGTCAGCAGTAGTTACACGAGGAGATAAGACATGGGAGGCAAAAGGACATGGAACTCAGCAGCAGCGCGCACAGTCAAGCCAGCAAGAGCACTACTGGTGAGATCTGCACCGGGGTAGGTACCCCTGCGCAACAGCAAAACTGCCCCTTTCTCCCAGTTCTCGTTCAGCAGCTACACTGACCTGAGGTGCCATTACTCCGGACAGCTCAAAGCCCTTTGCTTCTTCTAGCAAGTTTCGTTCTTCATTTGGCTAGAAGTGAGAAAAACAGACAAAACCACAGGTTTGTGGAAGCACAGGTTTGTGGAACAGACAAAACCACAGGTTTGTGGAATGTCGCACTGACGTGCTCAAGCTCAGTTCACACAGCACCAAATGTTTTTCTTCTGGAGACAGTAAGAGCTCCCACTTCTTACTTACAGTGACAAGGGGGTATTCCCTGGCTGGCCGCAGGTCAGCAAGACTGTTTTTAACATACTCTTCAGCAACAAAAGCTTCCTTTAGTCCAGGGAAAAGATTTTCGTATTCTGTAGGATCTGCAAGGGACTCAGCAGCTTTTTGGTTGACTTTAGAGAGATTCTCCCGCCACAGTTTGACAACCCTGGGGACACAAAGCACTTCTGTTACGTACAGCTACTTCTGACAACACTACTCACGCGCTGCATAGGCGCTGAGGTTACCTGGAAACTTGGCTTGGCAAATACGTCCGTGCGAGAAAAGCGGCTTCTGGGAGGCGCCCGGTTTTAATCAGGAGTTCCAAACAGGAGTCCAGCCTAAGGGATTTTAAAATGTGATTTTAACCGCTGAATGTAATAAAGACAGATGATTTTTGTATGAAATTAGCTGTTTATTCTACTGAAATGCTTTCATTTCAGATTTCCAAAGCAGCAGCCATCATAAAATAGAATCTGCTTTTCTGAAGAGGCACACGCCAGAGTCTTTCCCCAGGAAGTTTAGGTTAGCTGTGGGTAGCCATCTGAAGTACCTGGGGCTCTTGGCATTTCAGAAAGCAGAACAGAACCACCCAAGTCTCATGCTGGCTACTTACTTTCCCTGCAGGAAGTAGCTCATAAATGCGACATTGTTCTTGCCATCTTTTTCTGCCCCTTCAGCCAGTTTATTCACCATGTTCGCGTTTCCCGAGGCTGTAGCCAGCAGCAGTAATCCCCCGTAGTCCTGCGCGTGGTGGAGACACTCCTGGGCTAAGCCAAACTGGCATTTGCTAATGGCAAGCTCAGCAAGTTGCTTCCATTTCTGTTCTGACTAATGGGACAAAAAGGGGAGAGGGAGGGGTAAAAGAAAAAGAAAGAACCTTCGTGGTTTTGAGCAGCATTTAAGGATTTTAGAGCATTCATTATGAATATGCAAGTTCACTTGTGAAGGTGCTGCATCCCATCATTACACCTGTCTTCCTGGCGAGACACTACGATTACTGCAGCTTCACAGCGTGACACGTGGAATGTCATATGCAGATTATTACCATTACACAGCTATTCCATAAAATACACAGGTTTCCATTAAACGTGGAGGGAAGAGGTAGAAATGGAAATTTAAACAGGAACAATCTCTTACGGAAAGCTCCCAAGTTAGCCTTCAGCATGCAAGACAGACAACTTGCTGTAAGACTGTAACAGAGACTGTACTGTAACTGAGTTAACAGTCCTTGTCACTAACTTTACTGTCTCACAACAGGACCCTGAGGAGATCAGTTCTCTGAACTACGGCTGTGGGACAAATCACAGCCTGTCAGTCTTCCTAGGGCATCAGTCAAAGTTTGCCAAGGCTGGAACAAGGGCCCAGAGGCTTCGGTCCCACCATTCCTTCTCTCACTGTTCAACACCAGAGATTAAGGCTTGATTCTTGGTTCAAGTTTTGTATTCTCCAGGACTTCCTGTAGCTTTCTGAGCAGACATGTTTCATCAGCCTCCATTCCTTGGAATGTCAGGCAGAAGAGCTTCATCGAGGAAGCTGGAGGCACTTATGTAGTGTTCAGAGAGCTGTACTGCATCCTCACATACCACTGTCTCTTCTTATACGGCCTTTTAGATCTGCACTATTATGCAGAATTTGTACAAGTCACCAAAAACTGAGTGTTTACCTCTGCTTCCACTGCAAGCTGATAGGCTATTTTTAATTCTCCAAGTTGAAGAGCAAGTTCAAAACGATGCTCTGGATCTGTAGATACTGCAAGAGCTTGTTGTTTGAAGCCCTGAAATAAAAATTGGGAAGTAAGACACTGATCTGTCAGGTGAAACAGCATCCTAGATGTCCTAACAAAGGCCCCCTGAACTTGGTTACTGCACTCCCAAACACAGGGATGATCAACACGAATTGACACCTACAGATGAAGTGATTTGGTTTTGCTTCACAAATTTAATTAGAAAAGTGAATAAATGAATTTAAGTTTTTAGTTATTAAAAAGTGTGTTTCTTGCCTGTTTTTCAAGAAAGTGTGCAACTCTGGTCCTCTGTTCTTTTGGAATCGTCGGAAGAACTTTATCAGCCATCCCAAAATCTCTTCTCATCACAGCAGTTTGATATTCAAGCACTGAGACCAGCAAAGAGTAGCTGACGATGTTTAGCTCTTTATCACCCAAATAAAGTCGGTTGTCCTTGGGGATATACCCCAAAAGATACATTGTCCTGAAAGAAAACAAAGAATATTCATCCTCAATAGATCCACTGCCAAAGAGTCTATAAAAAAGGCCAATAGTTCTTACAGTAGCAAGACGACTGACATGAAAAATTCTAGTTTGACTGTGTATGCAGGTTGACATGACACTGTTTAGTCCCTCTGAGGTGATTACTGCCTCCGAACACACGCCTGCATGGCGTGCAGGAACAGGCAGTAATGCACAGCAGGCAGGTGCCGAGGTCTGCCTTGCCTTAACTCTGCTGGAAGACCCTCCAGCACCCGCTTACAGCACCTGCAGCAGCTTACCTGTCTAAATGGGCAATAGTGACAATTTCGCCTCCAACGTAGTAGTTGAGCCTGTTCACAGAACTGGTGTAAATGAAGCAGTCGCCTACCCACAACCCCGTTTTCACAATCTCCTGAATCTCACCAAGAACCTGCAAATGACGTTTGATTAGGTAGAGAAAAAGGCAATTTTAGATGGCAGTAAGACTTTCATCTTCAAATAACGATAGTTGGGCAAGTTGCAATCAAATCTAGATACAGATGGGAGGTACTGAAATAATGCTTTTAGTTTTACACAAGTGCTGTAACACGTGAAGTCTCTACCTTAACACTCAACCAATTACAAATCCAGGAAACAAGCACCAAACTCTGCATTAAAATAAAAAATTCACAAGGAAAGTCATGTTTCTGACATTTCACAGCATAAGGGTTTCTTTAACTTCTCAAATTTCAGTAACATTTTGAAACTTGAATATTGCAGAAATTATTTAAACAGCATTAAAATAGTTAACAGTGTTCCTGAGGTGGCTGGATACTGTGGATACTGTACTCCAGTGCTCTGGAAACTAGTGTTTCATAGGACTGTGTTAAGGAATAAAGGTGCTTTACTCTGGGAAGACTCGCTTCAATGACCCCTAATCCTATTCCCCATTTAAAACATAAGGTACCTCAAAAGCATCTTCAATTCCGTCTTCAGTGACTCCTTCATGCGTTTCTTGGACTGCCGCAACCTTTTCGGAGAGGTATTTCAGAATGAAGAAGGACTCTTCCGTGGCAATGCAGACAAGCTCACCCGAGTCGGACCAGAAGATCTGTATCGTCAGAATCAACAACGGCACTGTTTCAGAGACCCCACGTTAAGACAGGAGGATGCAGCAGTTAAGGTTAAAACATACTAACAGAACCTTTAGTACCTAAGAAGCCAACACCTAAAGGATTTTTTTCCCCCCTTCTGCTGCAAGACTGAGATAAACTAAAGTAAATACTTCATGACTGACAGCTTGGCTTCATGAAAATCAGTAGTCCAGTTAAAAAAAAAAAAAAAAAAATCAGTCAACACAGACATGCAAATATTTTCAGTCCCATCTACAAACTTACATGCTTGGGCTGAATTTCAATTCTGCGAATCAGCTCTGTGTTTTCCCAGTCATAGAATGCCAAACCATTAACAGATCTGACACCCAAGAGGAAGCCACCGTAAATGCCTGCAAGACAATAAAGGGGGAATGAATCCACATAGTGCAAAGAAAAAATACAAATGCATCAAGATACCTGTTTTAAAAGGAAATACCTACCTTCTGCTCCAAAATCAGGTTTGAATGACTTCTTCTCTTTGAAATTTTTAAATATCTTTACAACACTGTTGCTCTCTCTGATTGCGTATCTAAACAGAGGTTGCATTGTAAAAAGAAAAATAAAATTAATTGGCTTCCAAAGTAGCAAATTACTAAAATCTTAGGCTGCTACAAGACAGCTGCATTTCATTTATCTTCAAAAATTAGCAGAGTACTACAATGGAAAATTTTGAAGTAGGACAGCATTGAGAGTTCATCATTCACCCAGGTTTTAGTCTTCAGGCCAGTTAACGGTTTTATACAGCCCAAAAACTGGCAGCAGCAAATTTCCGTTAACAGAAAGGGAAGACCCCTGCAGCACTTACTCTGAAGAATCGTGCGCCCATACAAACTCCTGCGCAGAACCAAAGCTCTTGTTCCGCAAGGCCATAGCCGTGTAGATGATATATTCACCATCGCCACACACCACTACAAACCTAGAGCAGGAGGAAGATGCATTTGTCAGAGCTCCACGTTCCGTTCCACAAGGAGGGTCAAGCAGACCAATTACCTGCAAAGTTAAAGGTCCCTTGCCCAGTATAATCGCTGCAATGCAGGAAGAGTGAGCGCGCTTCCTATATTCCACAAATGCCACAGAACTAGATTTTCCCTGCGTCATGCTGCTAGCTATTTGCTACTCCCTCTTCCTTGTCTGAGTGGCTCTTGTACCTTGTGTATCTTTACCTTTTCTTTTAATTCAGCTTATCTGTTACCAAAACAATTCAAGAGAAGTGATAGAAAGATGCTGCTGTTACCTTACACGTTTTGTTTGCCTACTTCTTCCCAGAAAGTCCAACCTGTCTAAGTAACTCTTACGGGTGAAGCCCACCTATTACTCTGATTTTACAGTGCCTGGCTCCAACACATCCTTTCTCCAGAGGCTCTCAGCCACCAGCACACATGAAACTCCTTTTTCCTTCAAAACTTTTCCAATATATTAAAAAAAAGGGAGAGAAATCAGAGTTGTTCAAATATTTTGTTCTAAAAATCTATTACCGTCCATTAGGGTTGTGCTGAATTGTCTGAGGATAGATTTCGCAGCTCCCCATATCCTTCACAGCCAGCGGCAATCTTTCTCCATCTTTGATTTCAGCATCTCCCATAGCTTTCAAGTTAGCCTGTTGGACTTCTGAGTGTTTAGCCCAAATAATTTTTCCATTTGCATCCATGGACATGGCAGGCTCTTCACGACCAAGCTAGGAAGCGTAGCATAAAAATTTAGCAAATGGAGAAAACACCTTCCTGTTTTTCTTTTCAGTTGAACTATTTAGTGAAACACCCCAGCTCTGTCTAAAAATGCCACTTAAAATGCCAAACTTCCAGTATTTTAGATATTATCACAGAATCAGTTGCTCTGTGCAGAGCACCAAGATGGATCACCATTTCTCTTTTCAAATCGTTGACTGTACCTTAACAATAATGCTGCCTTCATCATACCCCAAAGCCACGTTATTGGATCCTCTTAGGCTGGCCACACACCACACCCTCTCCATACCGTAGTTGAGGGTACTCTCCAGGCGGTAGGTGCTCGAATGCCAAATGCGCACAGTTCCTACCGGAAAAAGGAAGACACAGGCCTTTTATCTCTCCTCTAACGGGAGGGCAGGAGGTGTGTAGGCACACCACAAGAAGAGTTCTCCCCCTGCCCTTTATGTATCAGAAAATACAAAATTACCATCTTCTGAGCCGGTGATGATGATAGGCAACTCAGGATGGAAGCTGACACACGACACATTTTGAGCGTGTCCTTCCAGTTAATGTACACATGTTTTATTCTGAAAAAAAAAAAAAAAAAAAGAAAGAGTTGGAAGTACAGGTACAGATAAACATGCTGATACAATTTTACTTTCATTTCTTAACAAAAGAATCTCACCCCAAATCCAAAATCTATCTGAACAACTATTTCTCTAGGCTTCTTCCAGTAGCATTTATTTCCAAGATGCTCTGACAACAGCATCAGACACATTAAAAACTGTGACTGTATCGAATTTGTTTCTCCTCCCCAGAAGAAAATATCTATTTTCCTCTACATAGCTGTTCTCCTCTATCTTCAGATCCAGGCAGAAACCATCTGCTTTCTCACAGCTACGCACCACAACAGATTAAAGCGAGAAAGAAAGCAGGGTACACTGCAAAATAAATCAGTAAAAACATCTATCTGAATCGAGTTACATGCGAAGACAGATCTAATACCGTCTTCGCACAGCTGCAGAAAAGTCTATTCTGCTCGAGACAGCCAAGACTACGTAAGTGATGTGTACAACTGTATGTGGTGGGAAATTTCAGGCCTGTCACGTAACAGCCATTACTGCAGTGCACACTTACATTACGAGTGCTAGTTTTAACTCCTGGGCTTGGACGTACGCTACAGCAATGCTTAGCAACCAGCAAGTACTATCTAACAAGTCTTGTCTTGCCCTTCTGGCCATTCCTGCACTTGCACACAGGAAGAACTTTGGAGCTCTAGGTGCCAGCAATAGAATTGAACCCCTGGATTCAGTCTCTTTCCCACAGACCATTCAAACAAGTCACCTCACGACCCCTGCCAACTGTCAAGCAGAAGCACATGCACATGTCTGCACGCACACAGGTGCCCGTGTGAGTGGGCACTGGATGAAGGAGGAGAGAGGGAAGGGACTAAAGAGAAAAGAAAAAAAAAAAGGGAAGTGAAAGGATGGAAAGAGTTGATACACGAACAATATTTACATTTGAACATAGGAGCACCTGAAGGCACAAAACACAAGAGAAGTCCAAAAGGCAGGGATTACAGCAAGAAAAACACCCTGACTAATAACAGAAACCCCATGTCAAATTTAATTCTACCAATTAAGGTTATTTAAATTCACAGGAGGCTTTCTCAAGGGTTAACAATTTTATTTTTTTAAATTAAGAACATGTCATGAAACACTGCCCCCACACACTTAGAATCATAGAATGGTTTGGGTTGGAAGGGACCTTAAAGATCATCTAGTTCCACCTTCCTTCTTTCCAAGGAAAACCAAGCAAAATGTCTTGGCGTATTCAAGTCCTTCCCCTCTTGCTCTACTCTGTCACTAACGGTTCTGCTACGGCAGTGGGCACAGAGGTTTATGGGGAGCTGGTCACGCACCTGGTAGTCCCAGATCTTGACCAACCGGTCATCGGCACCTGAAATGAGGTACGGCTTGTCTCCTCCGCTGTAATAGTCAATGCAGTTCACTCCTTTCTCGTGGCCTTCCAAGGTAAAGTTAGGTGAAGAAGAGCCCAGCTGCCACACCTTCCCAGAAAACAAAACAACAAAACACCCAACCCCATGTAGTTACTGAGCTTCTGAATCCAGGTCAGCCTTGAAAACAGAGCAGCCATTCACACGTACATGACAATTCCAAGGATCTAGATTACGAAATTCCAAAGACATGGTGGTCTGCTTAGGTGAAGAACTGCTTACCAAACTACCAACCCTCCCTCTCCCTGCCCTCATAAACAGCACTAACATGCCGAGTTGCACACACTCCATTCACACCCCAGAGAAACAGAATTGATGTCTTTCAACTTTTTTTTAAGGACATAACACCATATAGGAAACTGTAAGAAGTAGTAGCTGTTAATGAAATTAACTAACAGACCCAGAGAAAGCAATCAGCTATTTGTGTATCAACAGGTTCCCTCAACTGTGTTCTGAATTTTATTTTTTCCAGTTACATTAGATGAATGACAAATCTTGTGCTGAATGAGAACTGAACATTAATCAAGTCAAGTTGTAAATATACTGCTATTTTGCCCATGATTCCCCACATCAATTCAACATTTACATGCACCTCATCTCAACATCTGAGGATGTATGAAATCAAAACTGGCTTTTTACAGCCAATATCCTGATAATTTATAGGGCATGTGAGCAAGCCTCACTGCCCAGATGGCTGTAAATCTGTAGTCCCAGATATTCACTAATAGTTTCATAGCAAATGAGGCTCATCAGGGTCTACTATGAGAAGGCTGAAGACACCTTTGGAAACAATTCAATACACAGACAGCCAAGGACACAAAAACAATGTGAGAAATGCCTTTACTAATTTTTAAAATGCACACAGTTAAAGGCTTTACCCACTAAATATATAATTTCAATTCTCCCACTGACCGTATAACCATTTCCCCTCCCCAGTATCTGTTTAACCCAAACGGAAATGCAGCACGAGTTCAGAGAACCACACTTCAGTGAGCAGAGGTGACAGGTAATCTCGTATGTACTGAATTACTTAGTAGGTGCATAGTACCTCAACCAACACTCAGGTCTTCATTCAATAAAAATCCTACTACTGCCCCTGTTTTTAACGATTCTGGCCATTGTCCATACAGCAGTACTGCCTGGGAACTCAGACAATTACTTAATGACTAAAAAACACCAAAATACAGTTTCTCTACCTTGATTGTCCTGTCCAAAGAGGCACTGGCAAACTGATTATTGTCTTTTGGGTTTATGACAATCTGCATGACATAATGGGTGTGTCCTTCAAACACCTGAGAACAAGACCATTTTTTATCCCAGTCCCAGAGTTTAATGAGCATGTCATCTGGAAAAAAAATCCAAGCTTCAGTTAGTTTAATATATTCTGATATCTACCATCTTAAACTGCATAATCCTTAATAACTTCACGTTAAAGGCTCAATCATCCCTTCCCTTTTGAAAGGGGGCACAGCTAATGCTCAATATATTTTTCACCTGCAAGATTTCCTTGCAGGAGGGCCACAGGGAGTACAAGTTTCTCACCAAGACCGTCCAGTAATGCTGTGATAAAACTAAGAAAGAAATACACCTGTCTTAAAAAGGGAGACTAAGAATTGATATTAAGGTATTGAATTATTAACCTTAAAACACTGGGCAGATACTAAGAAATTGGACCTTTGCTTTCTTCAGCACCACCTATTCAGAGGGCTGGAGCCCCTCTGCCATGGGGACAGGCTGCGAGAGTTGGACTTGTTCAGCCTGGAGAAGAGAAGGCTCCGGGGAGACCTTATAGC